ATATATATATATATATATACACGTGCATATGTTCAGTTTATATAGAATATATACACTTAAACATTATAGAATATATTATAGAATATATACACTTAAGTATGAAATGAAATTAAAAATTTTACGTAGAAATTTTTTTATTTAAATTTTCTAAACTTATCAAATTCTTGCTTTAAAAATTATTATTTCAAGTTTATTTCAATTAATACTTTATGAAATTAGTATAAAATAAATAAAAATTATAACTTTACAAAGTCTCTTCTTTTTATTCCTTATTTCTGTTTGTGCAGTAAGAATAATATATTAACTTGTACCAACACATAAATCAATATATAATTTTGAAGAAATATTTTAAATATCGCATAATTTTGTAATCAAATTAAGTTTGTAATGATATTATTTTAATATCATTAATGTAATTATTTAAAGAAATTTGCATATTGCAAAAATCCAAAATTTATTGTAAGTCTTAATGAATTGTGAAGACACTTGGCATAAGAAAAAAATTATTGTGTATTTTTCACTATTAAAATATTTATAAAACTAGTACTGCAAAATTTTAATTTTTAATTTTATCATAACAATAAAATATGTAACGACATTACATATTATGATGTATACGTTATTAAAACTATGCTTGATTTTTATATCATTAATATAATATATACATATACGGTTTATAATAGCATCGCTGATATTCTAGCAATGGGTCAATTATAATTAATAATAAAAATTATTTTTAATACATATCAGACTATGGACATTTAATTGTAAATCTTATACTTATTATCAAGCTCTTTAAATGCATTATATATTTTTCTATTATTCATATTCTCGTTACAAAATCAAAATTAATTTTATTAAAATTTGTAGTAAATTTTATACATGTATGTATAAAATAAGTAAATTTTATATATATTATAACTCAAGTTTTATTTATATTTATCACTTGCATTCATTGCATTGTTATCTTATTTATTTCTTTACGACAATGTTTTTACATTATTTGATCTGATAAGAAGTTATCACAATAAAAATAACATGATATATTTTTTTGCAACTAATCTTCAAAGTTTAGTTAAACAAAAGTTTTTAACAAAACATGTTTCAGGCATAAAATTATCATATAAAGCTTTTTCCGGTACCTGGATTTATATATAGATTTAAATCCTCATTAAGTCACAAAAATAAATTAACAATATATGTGCGTCTATTGATTTTAAATTATGCACATTTGTATAATTTCGATAATTTCATAAAATCGATAGCTTTATATTGACACAGAGGACCTTTTTTCCAGATCATAAATATTATTAGAATATAGAATACGTAATAGTCATTTTTTATAAATATAATTTAATTGCACAGTTTAGTTCCATATAATATTTACTTTCATACTAAATTACTTATTATTTTTTATTTCTTTCTGTGTCCGAATTATAATTTATATAATTTTCAATGTATTTAGTATCAAATTTTGTTGTAATTTTTATGCGAATTACAATTACTTGTTTCAATTACAATTATCTTATTTTAATTATAATTTCGTTTACATGTGAAATTTAGCAAATTTTTTAATTAATTATAATAATGTTGATGAATTTTCATTTCGGTTTACAAAATGACAAAGCAAATTATATTATCAGTGATTTTATTCACTTCGAATTATAAAAAGATCCTCTATGTAAACAATAAGAATTTTTAAAATTATTATATTTTTTCTTAAATATTGTACTCTTGTAAGTATTGCATATAAGAGGACACTGGATATATATCTAAGCATATTTATAATATTTTAAAAATATCACCAATTAATTTCTAAAGTAAGGCTATATGAAGCTAAAAATGTTTTGCAATGATAGAAATTACAATGTAAATATATAGCACATTTATATTGTATGCAAAAATATTAACGAGTCATACATTTGTTCAATGATATATCATCATTAATTTTTATAACTTTTTAATATTTTCGAAAGACATGGCACTATATACATTCGTGTAATCAATGTTGTTATATTCGAAATATGTTTGTCAATAAGTTTAATAATTTTCATTCGCGATTTCAATTATAGTCAAGGCTTTTATTACTGATATTAAAAGAAAAAAATAAATAGGAACATAATTTAAATAAATCAATAGTACGTTTAAAACACTATCATAAACTATCATCACAAATCACCAAACTTGTCTTACAGTAGCATGTTTACATCAGTTTTAAGCAAAATTACACCATATACTTTACTTAAACATAATATTAAACAAATTTTTGAAGAAATTTTATATAATTGCGTCTTTAAATTTGTTTTTTTTTCTCTACCAATATTTTCACAAAAATTGAAAAATATTAATATTTTAAAAGTTCATACATACTGTATCACAAATTTAGATTATAGAAATTATATTTTCTAATGTTAATATGTTCATTAAATGTGCAAAATTATATATTTATATTTTGTATTTTGTATATCCCTGAATAAAATCCTTTGAACAGTAATCTTTTCAAGAAATAAGAAAAATTATTTAATAAATCTTTCCTTATTAGATATAAAGAAAAAGATAAAGAAATTGATAAAAAAAATTTATAATTATTTTTATCATTTCAATGTCAAACAATCTTAAATACTTCTGTTCAAAGGTTAAATACATAATGATATTTACTTATAATAAATTTTTTTCTCAAATATTAATTATCAATAGAAGTATCTTTTATATCATCTTTAGTGATATTTTGGTTCATTTGATCATTTTCATATTCTACAAAATCATCAAATAAACTTGGCCATGCTTCTGCATCGTCATAAACGCTAAGATCATCACCGATACTTTCAGCAAAATTTAAAAACATATTCCACGTATCTCTAGGTATGCCTCGAACATGATGACACTCGAGAAATTTTAACCATCTTGACAAAAGAGGTGGTTCACGTATTGTGAAAACAAGCTTCCACAAAACAATTGCCATATCAGCTGGTAATATTCTTTGGCCAGAATTAACATCCAAGCCAAATCGGAATGTAAATCGATAGAGATCTTTGAATAAATCATTGTTTACAGTCAATTCTTGAACAACTTCTGGTAATCTTGCTTGTATACCACGTATACTGTCTACTTTCATTGCTTTCAAACCTGTTATAAATTCTAGACGTGTAAATTGGCACATCTGTTTAGCGTTTAATTTCCAAGCAAGAACAAGTACTTTAAATTCATCTGGTGATAATTGTAAGTCATTACAAAATCTTTCTATACCATCAGCTAGAATGACATCTTCATGGGAATCCTACAAATAAAGAATAATCAAATATTATTGCAATATGACAGAAACACAAATGAGTATAATAATTGTAACAAGAAATCTTTAAATTTCACCTTGTACTGGTCAAATAAAGCATTTAACTTGCTCTCTGATGGTTCTTTCTGTTGCTTTGATTCAGTGGTTGCATTAAGACCAGATGATGTTCCAGATCTACCCAATGGTGATAACCGTGCATAAAATCCTCTTGACGAACGCAAATTACTTTGTACAGTGGGCATAGATCCGCAATTATCAGATCCTACATTATTGAATGTTGATAGCGTGGTTACTGATTTCCTATTTCCATTTATATGTCTTTCAGGCATTAAGGGTCCAGTTTGTTGGCAAGAATTTAAGAATGAACCTCTTAATTCCATTGTTTCTAAATCATTACAATTGTATATCACAACATGTATATTACAAATGATAGACGAAGGTGTGAATTATAAAATTTTATTAAATGCATCAAAATGAAATGGAAGTAATAAAATTGAAGTAAAAAAAAAAAAAAAAAAAAGGGGAGAGATTACCGTCTTTATAATCAAATGATGAAGAACGAGTGGCAGTGGCTGGTGGAAGAGACACCTTAAAACACGAAAAACAGTTTCCCATTGATGCTGTCCGTATTTAATGTTAAAGATGATTATTCCATGCATCAGTAGTTCAGTCTTACATTGGCAGTCTTGATCAAAAGCTAAACAATAAAGACAAAAGATAAATACTACTACAATGTAACATATGAATTCATAAAATCAATGAATTATAACAAACTAAACTAAATTCATGTGTATTAATGTACATAAATGATTAAAAGTTTTCACGTATCGTATAATGATCAGAAATCGTAATATAAAGATCCTTTAACTTAGATGTAACATAATTTTGTTGAAAATATAAGCTTTGTATACAGTATGATACACATACATTGTATTAAATTCGTTATAGAAAAAATATTATAATACGTACAGTAGAATATACTAGAAAAATTCTTTACCTTATTATTAAAGCGGATTTTTGGTCTACCTGGGTCGCAACAACCCCAGTAAAGACCCCCCGCAAAATATCTTGCTTTGACCTCATTCATTAAATTCTCACGCAATATTTATATTACAATTTGTCGTAATTAAAGTTGAGAAAATACTTCGTTTCCAGTTTTTTTAAACATCTCGTTTACACTTTCAAGTTGAATTTGCATTTGGTTAAACAATACTGTCATTTGTAGCGACGTAACCTCATCAAATGATGACACAGTGACAGTATTATCCCACGCGTAAAGCATACATCCAATCCGACTTATTTTGTGTTATATATTAGCGAAAGTTTGTATAAAAAAAAAAAATACACAGAAACAAAGATATATCTTTCGTATTTCAACGCATAATAAAAAATATTCCTTCAAAATGAAGTAACAACGAAATCCTTTTCGTAAATTCAGTGTTGATATACCATAAAAATAACAGTAACTAGGAAGATCATCTGTACCTATAATAAAATTACATCTAGAATACAATTGCTGTATTATTCGTTGATCTACCGATTTTATTCTGTTAATGTTCTTCAAGCACAATTGAAGAGTTCAGTTAAATATGTAAATCAAATAATAGTGACCACTATTGCACGAATGATTTGTTATTGGTTACGATATGCTACAAATTATATTCAAGTATTTAAACGCAGATCTACTTTATATATAAGCCATGGTGAAGATAAATTTGGCAACAGTGTTGGACTTTCACTTTGACGTAAACATAACCTATATAACTTTGGTATTTGTGATAATATACTTTATACATAAATGTTCCGTAAATTATTCCACATTTACGATAATTATGTACAGCACAATTGTTACTCAAAATCTAAAATCAAAATCGTCAAGTACGTGTGTTGTAGTTTTTATTTCAGACTTTCTTCGATAATGCAATACAGTGATAATGCAGTACAGTGATGTCACATAAATTTTGATTGAATACATTGAAACTTTACTTTACAACACAATCCTCCACATTGTTATGAAAAATTAAAAACAAATAGCTCTTATTCTATAGACTAGCATCACTATTGAAAATTAAAGCGGTATTTACTGATTAGGTTATGTTTACGTTGAGATAAGAATTCTAACACTGTTGTCACTTGTACCGTTTATATCACGTCTATCGTGATTCGCATTTGATATACAATACCCGAAAGACACGGTTCAATTACGAAATTATATAGATTAACCCAAGAAAAAATAAAAATATCAATAAAATATAACAATAGGTGCACGTTACTGAATATTGAATTTTAATAGAAATTCTTATTGATGGTAATATTTAATAATTTAAAATGTAATGTGCATTACAAGTTACAATATATAATTCTGTATACGATTCTGAAAACACTTGAGATTACGAGAATTAACTTTTTCACTTTTGTATCCATATTTCTACACAATCGTTTACTTAATATCGGGTGACGAATGAATATTTATCTTTAACATGCTAATGGTGATAACAGTAGTTAGATAAAATATCTTTTAATTTGAAATATATTCTTTTGTGTTAAATAAAATGTAGTAATTAACGGTTTTTTCTAAATACATGATATTATACATTTACTAAAAGAATGTTATTGTATCATTATAAAAATAATGTTGTTTAAATTTATCAATTTTAGATAATATATTCTTCCTCATAAATATGACTTCTTTTTGTGTTGCAGATTAAAGGTTCTGACGTACAATATTTTTCAATAAAAAATGCCAGAATTACCACGAATTACAAGATCTCTGCGAATGTTTACAAACCTTGGACGTATTAAAAGTACAAGGGAACTAGAACCAAACAACTTACTTAAAAAAGGAAAAGAACAGCATAACAGAGTGAAAAGGTATTTTACATTTGATATTTTATGAAAAACAAATATTTAACCAAATAATTAAGCTGCCTCATATACATAGAATGTTTCTTCAAGTTGGTTTTAATTAAGGGAAAAGTTACAATTTATGTTTATCTAATTACCTAGGAGCTGGCTAATTTACACTTGTAAATGAAAAAAAAATAATAACCAGTGTAAAATCATGTTTCTATATTTCTAGTTTATTATGAATATTATGTAATTTATACTGCGTTAATTGTGCAATTGATACTTACAATTATACGTATTACAGTGAATTTAATTGGCAAGATTTGTGCAAACATATACCCAAGAATATTTTACATCATGTTAATAAACTACGTCAAATTGCTATTAACGCACTTGGTATGTAAATTTTATACATTATACATATTACGCGCGCGCGCGCGTGTGTGTAATGTATGCATCTATGTGTACGACTATGTATAATAACAAAATTTTTCATTATTTGTTATTATTTTAGGAGAATGTTCTTATGAAGTCATCGATGAATTTTTAATGTTTACTTTAGAACTATTACTCAATGAAAAGATGTTAACCAACACAAAATTTACAATTTTAAGAAAAAAAGCTGGAAATTTAACATTTGAAGATGCTCAAAATATGTTGGAGGTAAATATATATATATAGAATTCATAGATTTATATGTGTACATTTAACGAATTTTATTATATCTTTTATAGATAATTATAATAATTCGGGAAAAATTAAATGAAAATATTTTAACACTGATAGAAAATAAAAAAAGAATTACCAATGATATTGAAATATCAGAAAATAAGTTATTTGGCCCGAAAATTGAATATAAATCTGCAAGAGTGTTGTGGCCAGATACTGGAACGCTTCGTAGTATGTCTTTAGAAAACAATATTCAAAGTACTGACAATTTTTCAATGGAATATAGAAACGAGGAGACAAAACTACTTAAAACTAAAGTTTGTACTAAAATTTTTTCATATTTGTGCAATATTTATTTATTTGTATAATGTACTAATTATAATTATACATTTATACTTTTTTAATTTAATTTTTTTTTTTATTTTAGTTTGATAAGGCGGTATATAAAGAAAATTTGAATGTATACTATGAAAAGTATTATTCGACAATGTCTCGAGAAGCATTTGACAATACTATAATTAATAAATTACAAAATGAAAATTCAGAAAGTGAATTATTTGATTTCCTTGGTTGTGAATCCATAGATTTTATACAATACATTATTGAACATCGAAAAAGTATTATAGCTTTGAATTCCGATTTGAAAGTACAAAAAAAGTCTAACATCCAAAGACCTGTGATCAGTGGACAAGTAACCATACAGTCTGAAAAAGAAAAACAGTTGTGGAAAGATGTACAAAAACAGAAAAAAAAATTTAACAAGATATCAAGTAAACGAGAAAAGAAAGGAGAATCCGAAGAAAATGATTTTGAATCGGTAGAATTGCGCTTAAAACAGAACGAAGCATTAATAGAGATGCATACACCCATATTTAAAAAAAATGTTACAGACAGAAACACACGAGAAAAATTTCCCTTTGTATTTGACTCCAATGTGTCCAGTAGAACTACAGCTGGTTACGTATCGAAACAAAAAATAATGTTACCACAAAATGCAGAGAGAAAAGATACAGAAATGTTCGAGGAAGTTTCTATACCTATTCCAGAGTCTCAACCCATTGATGTAAAGTACAAATCTGTTATGGTAGATTCGTTAGATGATATTGGACAAATGGCTTTCAGCGGTATCACATCGTTAAATGTAATACAAAGTATAGTATTTGATGCAGCATATCATACTAACGAGAATTTATTAATTTCTGCCCCAACGGGCGCTGGAAAGACTAATGTCGCTATGTTAACTATAGTACATCAATTAAAACAACACATTGAACATGGTCAGTTAATGAAAAATCAATTTAAAATAATTTACGTAACCCCAATGAAAGCTTTAGCAGCTGAAATGACAGCAAATTTTAGTAAAAGGCTGCAATGTCTTGGTATATCCGTTCGTGAATTAACTGGAGATATGCAATTAACTAAATCAGAGATTCAACAAACGCAAATGATCGTTACCACACCAGAAAAATGGGATGTTGTTACTAGAAAAGGTACTGGAGATATATCTCTCACTAGTATCGTTAAACTATTAATTATCGATGAAGTGCATTTGTTGCATGGTGATAGAGGGCCTGTAGTCGAAGCATTAGTTGCTCGAACTTTAAGACAAGTAGAATCTTCACAAAGCATGATCAGAATTGTTGGCCTCTCTGCAACTTTGCCAAATTATTTAGACGTCGCAAGATTCTTAAGAGTGAATCCATACGTAGGACTCTTTTATTTTGATCACCGATTTCGACCAGTACCTCTTAGTCAAACATTCATCGGTGTAAAAGCTACATCACTGTTACAAGAATTATATTACATGGATCAAGTATGTTACAATAATGTTTTAGATATGGTACGCAAAGGACATCAAGTGATGGTATTTGTACACGCACGAAATGCTACTGTTCGAGTGGCAAACGTACTGAAACAGTTAGCAATACAAGATAATACATATAAATTATTTATACCTGAAGGTCAAGCAAAATTTACAAATAAAGCTTTTGCCAAATCACGTAACAAATATCTAATTGAATTATTTAATAACGGATTATCAGTACATCACGCTGGTTTATTGCGTTCGGAAAGAAATTTAGTTGAAAAATACTTTAGAGAAGGTTTAATCAAGGTATTAGTATGCACGTCGACATTAGCTTGGGGTGTAAATTTACCTGCACATGCAGTTATTATAAGAGGAACAGAAATATATGATGCAAAACATGGTGCATATATCGATTTAGATATATTAGACGTTTTACAAATTTTTGGTCGTGCTGGTAGACCACAATTTGATGTATCTGGTCATGCTGTTATTATTACTTCCCATACTAAATTATATCACTATTTATCGTTATTAACAAACCAAGTACCCATTGAAAGTAGTTTCATCAAATATTTGGCTGATAATTTAAATGCTGAAATTGCATTAGGTACGATATCAAATGTAGAAGAAGCTATAAAATGGCTAAGTTACACCTATTTATTTGTTCGAATGAAATTAAACTATCACGTTTATGGAATTCCTTATCAAGTTATTATGGAAGATCCAAATTTAGAACGAAAAAGAAAAGAGTTAATCGATACAGCAGCTAAAGAGTTAGACGAAGCTAAAATGATTCGATATAATACAAATACCGGAGATCTAAGTGCAACAAATCTAGGACGTATTGCCAGTCACTTTTATCTCAAATACGACACTATCGAAATTTTTAATAAACTTATAAAATCATTTATGACTGAAGCAGAAATATTTGCTATGATATCTCAGTCTCAAGAATTTGGACAACTGAAAGTGCGAGAGGATGAAATGGAAGAATTGGAAGATATGGTTCAAGAATATTGCGAACTTAAAGTTGAAGGTGGTGCAGAAAATATACATGGTAAAGTGAATATTCTATTGCAAACGTATTTATCACACGGTCGAGTTAATTCGTTTTCATTGATATCCGATCAAGCATATATCGTACAAAATGCAGGACGCATTTGTCGTGCATTGTTTAATATCATGTTGGGACAGAACAATGCAACAATGGCTGGTTGTTTATTAGAAATAGCAAAAATAATTGAGGTGCAACAGTGGGGTCATAAAAGTCCTTTGTGTCAGTTTCATTGTTTATCTCCAGAAATTGTTGATAAAATAGAATCATATGATTTGACAATTGACAGATTAAATAATATGAATGTTAAAGAAATAGGGGATATTTTGTATAATCAGAAAGTCGCAGTATTGGTGAAAAAATGTTGCGAAGAATTACCTGCGATAGAAATGGAAGCAAATATACAGCCTATTACTCGCACAGTTCTAAGAATACGTTTGAAAATATCTCCTCAATTTCGATGGAACGACAACGTTCATGGTAAAACTTCAGAACCATTTTGGATATGGATAGAAGATCCAGAAAGCGATGTTATTTATCATCATGAATACTTCAACATGTCAAGAAAAATGGTTTACAATAATCTTGAACAAGAGCTTGTAATGACCATACCATTACACGAACCATTGCCTTCTCAGTATATAGTGAAAGCAACAAGTGATCGCTGGTTAGGTTGTGAAAATATGCTGCCTCTAACATTTCACGATTTAATTTTACCTGAAATGTATCCACCGTATACTAAACTGTTAGAGTTACAACCGTTACCTGTAAAAGCATTGAAAGAACCATTATTTGAAAAACTTTACAAGTTCTCTCATTTTAATCCAATACAGACACAAATTTTTCATTGTTTGTATCATACGGATAATAATGTTCTACTAGGAGCTCCAACTGGTTCAGGGAAAACAATTGCTGCAGAGATTGCCATATTCAGAGTATTTAAACAATATCCAACGCAAAAAGTTGTATACATTGCACCATTAAAAGCTTTGGTCAGAGAACGAATGAAGGATTGGAAAGTTAGATTCGAAGAGCAACTAGGGAAGCAAGTAGTAGAACTAACTGGAGATGTATCACCGGATGTTAAAATTATAGCAAGTGCGAGCGTTATTGTAACTACACCGGAAAAATGGGACGGTATCAGCAGAAGCTGGCAAACAAGAACTTACGTCAAGAATGTGGCGCTCGTTATTATAGACGAAATACACTTGTTAGGAGAGGATCGTGGTCCTGTATTGGAAGTTATTATTTCAAGAACTAATTTTATTTCTAGCCATACTTCAAAGAAATTAAGAGTTATTGGACTTTCGACAGCGTTAGCTAACGCAGTGGATTTAGCTGATTGGCTTGGTATCAAAGAAATGGGTCTTTACAATTTTCGTCCGTCTGTACGACCTGTACCATTAGAAATTCATATACATGGATTCCCAGGAAAAAATTATTGTCCACGAATGGCAACAATGAATAGACCAACTTTTCAAGCAATTAAACAACATGCCCCATCTAGTCCATCTTTAGCGTTTGTCTCATCACGCAGACAAACACGTTTAACTGCGTTAGATTTAATTGCATACCTTGCAGCAGAAGATAATCCTAAGCAATGGCTACATATGTGCGAGGAAGAAATGAATACCATTTTGGATCATGTAAGAGACTCAAATTTGAAACTTACACTTGCTTTTGGAATTGGGCTTCATCATGCTGGTCTTCAAGATAGAGATAGGAAAACTGTTGAAGAATTATTCGTTAATAATAAAATTCAGGTACATATTTAGATGTTAATTGCTATTCACAATTTTGTTTAGATCCTCAATATTTAAATTAAATATTTAAGGTAATAATAATTTAAAGTAAAGAAGTCTTTTAACAAAGAAAAAATATTTGAAATACGTTACAAATATTTAATAGAATTTTACAAAGTTAACTAAATTAAAATTAAGAATATTATATTTAGGTATTGATCACAACAGCTACTTTAGCTTGGGGTGTCAATTTTCCTGCTCACTTGGTCGTAATAAAAGGAACAGAGTATTACGATGGTAAACAACACCGTTACGTAGACATGCCTATCACAGATGTGCTCCAAATGATAGGACGCGCCGGCAGGCCTCAATTTGATAACGCTGGAGTAGCAGTGGTTTTAGTACACGACTTGAAAAAAAATTTTTACAAGAAATTTTTACACCAACCATTCCCGGTAGAATCAAGCTTATTAGCTGTTTTACCAGATCATATAAATGCTGAGATTGTGGCTGGTACAATTAAAAATAAACAAGAACTATTGGATTATTTAACTTGGACATACTTTTTTATAAGATTAATGAAAAATCCTAAATATTATGACTTGAATGGCTTAGAACTTCATACAATTAATCAATATTTATCTTCTTTGGTGGATAATACGTTGAAGGTGTTAATAGATTCACATTGCGTGGAGTTTGGCCAGGTATATAAATTAAAATTAAAGCCTCATTTTCGAGTTGTTGTACAAAGAATAATTTACAAAATTTTTATTGATTTTAGGAAGAACAAATTTTATATCCACTTCCAATGGGTAAAATAGCGTCATTTTATTATTTATCGCATCACACTATGTTAATGTTTGAAGAATCATTACAAGAATCTTTAACATTGGAGCAATGTTTACATATTTTGTGCAATTGTCACGAATACAATGAATTACCAGTAAGGCACGACGAAGAATTATTAAACGAGTAAGTATCAATGCGCTAGTAAATAAAAAAAAGGTATTTCGAAAATCTTATTTTATTTCAATTTTTAAATTTTGTTTATTTTTTAATTTTTAAATAGAGAATTAAGCAAAATGTGTCGTTACCAAGTAGATAATTACTCGTATGGATCTCCACATACTAAGGCGTTCTTATTACTTCAAGCACATTTTTCAAGGCTTCCTTTGCCATGTGTAGATTATATTACCGATTTAAAATCAGTTCTTGATCAAGCAATTAGAATTATTCAAGTATGTATAATTAGAAGAAAAGTTATTATATTACTTTATGCGAATTATAATTGAAATACTTTTTAATCGATATATATTTATTTTTAGGCAATGATGGATACAGTTGCGGAACATGGATGGTTAACAAGTACAATTATGATAATGAATTTACTTCAAATGCTTATTCAAGCTCGATGGATCGATGAATTTGCAATTATTACGTTACCACACGTAAATTCAGAACATGTACAATTATTTTCGACATTGTCACTATGTCTTCCGAAACTGTGTTTTACCATGCGTGACAAGTATAATATACTCGTACAGGTGCTTGGCAAAGACTTTCAAGAAGAACAAATATATCAAGTAAATACTTATAACATTGAAAGTACATACTAAAAATATGAAATTATTAATTGCAAATCATTTTAACGTTAGATACATCAAGTAATGAAAGAAATGCCAATGCTTTGTATCGATCTCAGTTTAGAAATGGACGATGGAAAACAGAAGTTTAGATCGCTAAAGTCTAACGATTCTGATTATATAAATATTCACAAGGATCAAGATTACATCTTAAATATTGCAATGAAAAGAAAAAATAAGTCTGATAATTTGAAAGCACACTGCCCTTTATTTCAAAAAGGGAAGGACGAATGTTGGTTTTTAGTTCTAGGTAATATTTCTGACAGAGAATTATTAGCTTTAAAACGGGTATGTGGAATAAATGAACAACGCATATCTCACCAATTACAATTCACAGCACCATCAAATCTAGGTAATTTTATTTTTTTATATATCTATAATCACATACAATAGTAATTTTTCTTTCGTCTAACTAAAAATTTAATCTTATTTTTCAAGGACGAATGATCCTATCGTTTTATTTAATATCCGATTGTTACATTGGATTGGATCAACAATACGATATAAAAATAAATATAATACCTTAAAATATAAATTTTATTTTATTTAACAAATGTACTAATTTTTTCTAAAAGATAAATGTAAACCGGTTGTTTTTATAAAATCTGTTATTTTACTAATATTTATCAAGTTAAAATTTTAATAACCGTAAGTACCGTAAGTACTGTACTAAATAATTTAAATATATTTAACTTAGAAAATTTTTTTATATTTATTTTTTAAAAAAGATGCATATAAATTTATAAGATATTTTTATTTATTACATGACTATGAAACATATATATGTATATATATATATACATATACATATATATATACACACATATGAATTATTTCATATCTTTGATACAAACGTTAACTAATACCAAATTAATAATATCTTATTAATTTAGTATATAAAGATAAAAAAAATAGCATTCGAAGGATCAGTTTTATAATTTTGTATATTATGGGTTAATAAATTCAACTTTACATAAAAGTAAAGAATAACAGATAAAATCATTTTCAATATAATATTACTTCATTTTATTACAAAAAGGATTATACGCATAATTTAATACAAAAATTTCATCCTAACATTAGTATTTTATTAAAAGTAAAAGAATATCAATAATGGTATGATATATTATGTAAACATTTTTCCACACTGATCCTCCTTTATATTTGTGTTACGATATTATAACAATATTTATTTGTAATTTCTTATACTAACGAGGAATAACAAGATAATATAGGGTAGGAAGGATATGAGATCATTTCATTGCTTTGTTTCGAAGAGAACATGATTAAGTTGTACATTATTTATCTGTAATATTTCACCTGATATATCGATCAGCGCAGACTGTTCAGTCTAATGACCTAGAAGAGGTACACTTTAGCTCTAGATTTTTAGTTTTAAGCTTGTACAAATCCCTGAGACAAATAATGCAATTGCGACAAAGTATTTTTTATTCGTTAATTTTCTTAATATTTATTGTCCTAGTAATCAGAAGTAAACATTAAAAATTAAATTAAAAACTTTAATTTTAAATAATAATAAATTTTAAACACTAACATATGTATCTTTAATTGAAAATTAACATATAACTAACATATGTATTAATTGAAAATTAACACAGCCAAATTCACTAAATATAATAAACATTTTTCTACATTTAAAATATAATTCATCGATATTTCGATACCTTAACATTTTACAGACAAAATATGATTATCCCTTTTATTACTTCTCCAAGTTATTCTTCTAAAATTTCAAATTAACAACACCAATATTAAACACTTTTTATTGCCTTCAATAATTTTTTAAATATCAATGATAAAATCGGTCGGATAAATTAATAATCGAATACTTTTTTTAAAATTAAGGTTTTACCTTTTTCATCAATAGATTGAACCTTCTGCCTTTTAATGTATATGAAATGCATAAATTATCATTTCTGTAATTGCAGTACTAATCAAAGCAAAGAAATATTTAAGCTCCTTCCATAATGGAAATTTGGAAGTACTGATCATTTCTTGTAAGTAATAAACCGAAATATTTTTAAAGCAAAAATTTGACAGACAATAATACATTTCTACTCATCACATTCATTGCAAATATTATGTTTCCTCAAATAATTGAGAATATTTTACACAATATAGCAAATTGCAACTTCATTTTAAACATCATTACTTTTCCTTTTAAATATAAAATTTTTTAAAATTATAATTAACGCGTCTTTACGATTAATAGGTTATTACTGCCGTTTTTTTCGTACTTTCCTTTTTTCTGTAAATTTTCTGAATAACAATAAAAGTGTATACTGTATCACTCAAGAACCAAGGAAGCACTGGCATAACTAACAGAACTATCATTCATATTATTGCACTGATTGCTTTGAGCATATTTAAGAAACTTCAAGTTCATTCTTTGGCCATTAGTATTCCCTTTTAAACTATGAATTGCCTGTTAAAATATTAATTATAATTTCAAAAGTTGCGTCGTATTTTATAAAATCATATATCATTACAATTTATCATAAACAAGAATTTTAAATCATCAATCATTAATTTTAAACATCGAAAACTCATATACGCATAATAAATCAGGAAATACATCAGCATTTGAAACTTTTGTTTAATGAAAGTAAAAATATTTACCTGTAAAAGAACGCTAATAGGATGTCGGCCACATATTGTATTGCCATATTTTTTGAGGTAATCGGTAAACATTGTAGGATTCAATGTCTCTATAATGTCCATACCCTGTAAGTTTTTATATATAAATAACAATATTAACAAGTTTCATTCGACCTATTTGGAAACAAATAATGGCATTATCCTTTGATTTTATATACCATTTTGTCAAGATTTTGAATAGATCTGTGAATAGGACCACAGGATCTATCGTAATAAGTATAACGAAAACGCTGTCCCCAATGACAAAAATCAGAAGATATAACAAACAATGTTTGCGGATCAGCCATGTACGGTGCTAATAATCTTCCATAGAGTGCTTCTTTCTCTGGACTTAGCGAACCCACTAATATAGGAATTATCGTTAAAGAATCTTTAAACCTATATCAAATGATGAAAAATTTGAAATAGAAAATAATAAATGAAGATGTAATAGCAATTATATCATAACAAATATAACAATAAACATACCCTTCCATAACTTTTGCAATAAATGGCAATTGCATCTCAATGCTATGTTCATCTTCATCCGTGTTTAAATCTATCCATTCAAAATGTCTAGTCTCTTCAAGTTCTCTGTACACTGTCACAAATAGAAACCTATGTGAACTAATCTTTAATGGTAATTTATATTTGGAGTTTATTTTTCACTTTCAACATAGTTTTATCTTCAAGATAGAAATAATTTTCTTTGTTTTAATACTTTATATCACGAAAATTGTACCTTGCTGATCAATATGTAAATCATACAACGGCGTTTGATAAATCGAAGCAGAAGAAAGAGCACAGCCTGCTAATCTGACATGATGCGACGGACCAAGAATAAAAATTCTGCGTCTATATAATAATAATATCTATTTAATTTCTTACTTTAAACAAATATACAAATATAAAAATATAAATAAAAATACAAGAAGTAATTAATTTCACTTTTTCACGAACGTGCAAAAATTTTTACACGTAAAGAATTCGCGTTAAGAATAACAATGAATAAAAAATATAATTATTAAAAAATTTTACTTATTTTAAAAATTTGAAGTTAATATCTTCGCTGGTATAAAAAATGTGCGTTTAATTGGCTAAAACGTGCCAAAGTGTCGTATCAATGATAAACTAAATTAATTAAATATAAGATACAAAAACGATAAGATACGATAAGAAATAAATATAGGATTCTGGAATACGATAGTTTTAAATATCAAACTAAAAATTTATTGCATCAAATTGAATTATACTTCGTGCAATAAATATCACGTAAAGTACCAAAGGAAAGTATTTTTTAAAGAACTTACACAACTACAGGACTAATTTGGCGGTATGCAAAACCAGCACATGCTCCACAATAGCTGTAACCTGCATGTCTGTGAAATTTCGTTTGTATCTCAATAAAGATTCTTTAATCTAATTGAAAATTATTCTAATGTACTATAATTACTGACGGGGAAATTATTGCCCTAGCAGGTCCATGCGATAAGTCTGCCGCACCCAACCAACCTTCCAATTGTTTGTTCAAGTCCAATCCTATATAAAATATTCAAAGTATATATTCACACAGTTCGTTATCAACGTTAATTATTGAAGAGTAATTATCATTGAACTATACGTTAGAGAGTACGCGTACAAGAGTAAGTTAATTCATTAATCATTGAACTACGTCAGCACAATTATCAAGAATAATTTCAAAATTTTATAATTTTATGATACAAATTCCATCAAGGAAAGATACGTTACAAGATGTATTTAACAAACCATAATAAACTATTCATGCTTGTCTTTACAATACCTACCTACCGTACATGTAGTACAAATTTTGTCAATTTTTTATATTTAAATTTATCATATTTGTGCAACAATGCGAATAATATGATATTTTATTTAAAAATGGACTTGAAAATTTGAAAATGTTTGTAAAATATTGAAACTTATTGAAATATTAACAATATCAATATTAAACCTAACCTAAAATATAACAGATAATTTAGTAGAATTTAAACACGTATCAGCGTGTCATCGTATTAAAAAATATCGAATTTCAGAAGTACGGAGTTAACACGTTATTTGTCAACATACATATACGTATACTTGTCACAGAACACGTAACGATGAATGTCCACGAGAACGAAGAAAATCTAACAGATACATTTCATTGAATTGTAAATGAGCATTGTTAAAATTAAACAAACGTAGAATACGATTTAAATATTGCTTACCAGAGCCTGCGTACCAACTGCCAGCATGAGTTGCTCTTCTAATTAATGCCATTTTTCGCTTTTGCAACACTAATTTTTATTTCCTCTGTTCACTTTTCTTTTCTTTTTTTCTTTTTTGTAATAAATATCGCCTTGCTACAGTTACGTTCTTCTTACAATACGATTTTGTTTAAAGTGCCGACAATTAATCCTACTTATGTACAAAATGTTTATAAAATTCTATCACAAAACTTAACTTTTACTTAGCCATGAACCATACGCTTTTAATAACGTTGAACGGTACATTGCGTACAACGCACATATTCTTTCGGAATGTAAGTACGGAGCGAATATTTCGAAATCTACCTAGCAGATTTAATTTCGAGGAAAGCTTATACTTTGCAGTCGAACCAAGCAATCAAAACTTTTATACATCAGAGACGATTAAAACGTGGAATCTCACTAAGGACATGGTGCCTATTCTCAGTGACAAATCAGAAGTACCTTTCATTGCAAAAAAACATGATTGGTATAAAAGTATTTCAATAGCTATGAAATAAATATGAATGTTGTACTTTTTCTACGGATTGAGATAACGATATGCAGAAAATCAATGTGAAATACCACTAAGCGTAATATAAAACGGAATAAATGATTAAACGGAAAAAAACAATCTACGAGCAATGTCTATACGCACATACCGATATTTTTAGTACATTAGCAAAAAACTGTAATTTTAACGTGAAATATGATTTTCATCTTTTCTTTGAAGCTTATACGTATTTACAACGCGATAAAAGTGCAATTCCATTGCTTTGCAATGCTTTGTTGAAAAATAAAATACTCCTATATATTTTCTATGACTATTTTCCGCGACAATGTTGTACATATATGTTTATTTTATCTCGAACGGAGTGAAATATCGCGCGTTACATATGCGATGTTAATTAAATATAATCTGACAAATTAACAATCCCTATGAAATCATGGAATGGACGAGACGTCTTCTTGAAATTCGAGATTTTTCGTGTTAATTGGTATATATATTTTACTAGAACTATCGTTTTTCGTAGAAGAAGCGACTTCACATATAAAAAATAATTACCAATATTAATCCGAAGCGTCTACCGACCAGCAACTTTAGATCTAATTTCATTACATTAAAAGACCAAAAATTATATTTAAAGCATGCAATGTTCCAAGGACCATGATCAACATTTCGTTGGTCATATTCAAGACTAAAATTTGACTTTCTATCGAGTTGTATCACGCAACGTTGATAAGATTTTGAACGCACAATTATATGTACGATATTTTCGGCGTGTAAGCGTATTACTCGTACATATAATCTCGTTGGTGATTATTTCGGTATCTGATTTGAACATCACCGTAGAAATGGTTATAATGGCAGAAATTCGTGTCTCTAGTGTTGTTTAAGTTTGTGGAACTGAGTGACAAAACAGACATCTATTTATTAAGAATAATCACAACGTGTATAGAAATCTAATCGTCAAAGACTGTTCGCGTTGAGGATCTTTTTCCCAGAGAGAACGCTAATTATTGATAACAACGTTCCCCCTATCATATTCATCCGAAATCAACATCGACGTTTTTGTGTTTTTTTTTACGCTCATTTACTTTGTTTATTATGAATTCGATGAATTTTTTCGCGCACTGACTTAACGACGGATTCAATAATATATAGGTAATTAAATCTGACTTGTTTTTCATCAATATTTCGATTACAAAGATCTTATAACCTTTTGCCTTCATCGTGCTCCTTTTGATTTCTATCTTTGCAATATCAAAATCGCCGATCTTCGGTCAGTGTTTTTGCTGATTCGTAAATCGTCCGCGTACTGTGTACGATAGTCATGATATTAAGGTACCGATAGAATGTCCAGAAGAGAAATTATCTAATTATTTTCGTTCCGTTGTTACATCGTTGTTTTTGCAAAGATCGAAGTAACACCAATAGCGTTGCGATGTCGTATTAATTTTTCAACGTAAAGATACGAACGTAATTTAAAACAATCGTCAAATTAGTTTGCAAATGCTTGTAAAAATATACACGTCTTAGAAACTAAATCCTAGAGCATTGTACATTGTACGATATGAAATTATTGTTATTAGCTTGAATTTTACATGCGATATTGGTAAAAATTTTTATACTTTAGTCTCTTCGAATAAGTGCATTTTTATGGGAATTTGTCTTCACAGAGATATCCTTTGCAAAGGAAAAGTGATTTGTTTATAAAATGTAAAAGCTTTTTCTCATTGTTCGATGGTATAATTTTCTTCAATGGTGTAGCGTAACATGTATTTACATAAGCAAATAACGTGTAACACAATGTATTTACATAAGTAAGTTAAGACGTAAACAAATATTTTATACAAATAAGAATATAGATTACGATGTATGATGTACGTTTCTCGAAGTAATGCTCAAAGCATCTTCATAAGAATAAATTCTTTGATTGCCAATAGGTTCACTCTCATTTCTTGTCTTCGATTTTGATACGACCATTGCCATGGTGCTGTGACAAAGAGGTAAAAGTATAGAGATAAGCGTAATTGAAATTGAAAATAAAAGAACAAAGTATCCGACAATGATTAACAACTGCTGCTTCTACATTGAAGTTTTTGTCTTTACTTTGTCGTTGCAGGCTGCTACTAGGGGATATTGTCATGGATTGTCTTCGGTTCTATGAAATTGAACAAGTTACAAGCGATGCGATAGAAAACAAGTGATTGTGATAATTGACGTAAAAGCGTGTCGGCGTGCCCTAGCAGGTACTTCGTAGCGGAGCCACCAGGCTATGGCTAACCTGAACTTTGAGCAGCCACCACGCAGTATTGCGAACGCAAGCCTTACATCGCGCACGGGTGGCGGGGGGGGCTTAAATTCATCAACCCTTACGGGTCATGTCACACCTACGTCAGGCATGTTCTCAGGCTCGTCTGCAAGCACTTCCAGTTCAGCTAACTCTGCGGTAGTAGTTGCTAACGTTTATCCCGGAGCATCGGGAGCAGGAGGTGGACAAAATAGTCATCAACCTCAACAACAACAGCTCTCTCCTATGGGCAGCAGAGGACTGTTTGGACAGAGAGCTTTTACAGATAGACGTACAATGCCTGCTCTTGGGTTAGTTTCCTCATTACATTCCACGTAGGAATCAGTTGGAACAGTTCTCTGTTTTTGTTACAACGTTGTAACGCACGTTTTGTTACACGTCGCGCGTGTTGTATAATAATTCTGCATATAAAATGAATATCAATGCAAACGTTGATACAAATTTACAGAACATCAAATCCAATGGGTAGCATGGGCACATTCGGAATACCTCAAAGTCGAAATTACGGATCTCAAATCAATAATTTTCACTCTGTTTTCGGCAGTGGAGGAGGTGGAGATACAAGTACTCCTCCATTGTTAGATCTGTCTGAATTTCCTTCGTTAACAAACAGAGGACAGGGTGATTCTATGCCACAACCTAGTCCTATGCCAGGCAAACAGCCTTACGGTACTTGTAATAATTTAGATTTCGATACAAGTATACAAGTATATTTCGAGCGTAATCGCGCGTAATTTTTATATAAATATTTGTAACAATCGTAGTTGGAATGGTAAAACAACCAACGTCCGAATCGAGCGAATTCACAATGAGCTCCGAGGATTTTCCAGCATTGCCAGGAACGCAAAATAGAGAAGGACCATCGCCGGGTGGAAGCGTTTCCGGGGATAAAAATATACCTGTTGGACTTGGTCCTGAAATTGGACAAGACGTATTGCAGGCAAACAGAGCACCCGGATCTGAAAAGTCTCAATCATCCAAAAGAGGCATACAAACATCTCCCGATGGTATGACAATAATTATCGTTACAACTTACATTTCGTTTTATCTCGTAATTATCGTTGTATTTTTTCAGGCAAGGTGACCAATATACCAGCTAGTATGGTAAAGGACCAGTTTGGAATAGTTGGGTTATTGACGTTTATCAGGGCAGCTGAAACAGATCCGAATCTAGTATCTTTGGCATTAGGCCAAGATTTAACCGCGTTAGGATTAAATCTCAATTCAACGGAAAGTCTTTATCAAAATTTTGGTGGACCTTGGGCGGAAACACCGTGCCGACCTCAGGATATTGATTTTCACGTACCACCGGAATACCTTATCAATGCCTCCATCAGGTGCCTTATCTCGTCAATTTTTCAACGTGATTTTCGATACGAATACGAATCGTCACGTATCATAATCAGACTCGTATATTTTATTTCAGAGATAAGCTAGCACCGGTCAAATTAAATCGGTACAAGGACGATCTACTATTTTATATGTTTTATACAAATGTCGGAGATGTATTGCAATTGGCAGCAGCAGCGGAGTTGTGAGTATCTCTCACGTTGAAATTTTAGATTCTTTTCTAATTACGGACTCGTATAATAATATGTACGATTTGAAACACGAAGGTACAGCAGAGAGTGGCGATATCACATGGAAGAAAAGGTTTGGATAACACAAGCACCTGGATTGGGACTCGTAGAGAAGACATCAACGTACGAACGCGGTACTTATTATTATTTCGATGCGCAAAGTTGGAGAAAAGTAGCGAAAGAATTTCATTTGGATTATACAAAACTAGAAAGTAGACCTCATCTTCCCACAAACTTTCATCAAACCCAGCCTTGACTACAGGTATCTAATAAAAATATAACGCGATACAACGAAATTATAAATATTTCTATTGAAAATGTACGAAATTAGTTTATCTTTATTAAAAATATATATATATATTTAATTATTCTTGTTAAAAATTTATATATTCGTTACAGATCTGCTCGCAGACCATCGTACTGTCTTTAAGCTGGACAGGAAGCTATTGTATAAATGAACAAATTTAATAATCTTTAATAAAAACATAAAATTTGAAGAGTATAGAAACGAAGTTGTTTAATCATTGACTCAGTTAGAAATGGAAACGAGTCTGATCGAGTCTCGATATCGACACGATATTAACGATTTTGATACGTGATTCTATGTTTTAAATATTTAGGTGCTCACGCATAGAACGATGTACTTTTTGATATTACAGCGATGATTAGAATTTCGGCAATGTACATAATAATAAAAATAACGCAAACAGTTGCATCATCGAACAAAATTTTGACGCTCAGGCAGCTCAAAATGCAATCTGTCCACACAAGTTCCGCATCTACGTGATTATTTACTTTATACCTATGTAATCGTTTAGAAATGTAAATGAAATGTTTTTTAAAAAGCGAATCTACACTTTACAAGATGTCAATAAATTAAATCGTTTTTATCATTTGTCGAAATTTATGAAACACATCGATATTTTAATGTAAATTTTCGAATGTAAAAAATGTTTTCAAACACAAAAAAAGTATTTAATTAAAAACGATACGATACAAAAATGTAATTGCTTAAAATTGCAATTTACAAAATTTTCGAATCACTCAAGTTCAAACGAGTTTAATTTCAACGAATATAACTCGCAACTCGTAGTAATTTCAACCTTATCACGCACACACACACATACATGTACGAGTTAAAAATTCGAAAATGTAAAATAAAATTTACGTTTAAAAAAAAAAAAAAAAAAAACCAAGAACGTAAATATAAAAACGAATCTTTTTAGGTTATTTCTCAATGTCAATCGAACAAATTTTCAAGTCAAACACTTTTACCTTTAATTTTATTTTTAAATTTTCCGGTAATAGCATGCGATTTAAAATGTAGTTAATCGGATAATAAATCAGGTACTTTCAAGTTTCTCGCTATTTAATATTTTTACTTTTTAAAATTTTTGTTTCAACGTTTCAACGTATCGACAATGTTCTTTATCGAATCATAATTTTAACAGACAGACTCGTCACAAACCTATGAAAATTTACCACGTACGACTCAATTCCACTTCTAGCTCATAATTGTACCATTATTTTATTTTCCTTCTATTCCGTTTTACACGTACAAACTTTTACTCGTACATTTTCCACGTAATCCTGGAAAAGCTTGCAACGTCTCGTTTGCAAATGTAAAATTCGTTTTATAATTTTTCGATCGAGGTAGCAAGATCAATTACATTTTCCGACGCATTTACAAAATAATTTTCAATGTAATTTTGGCTGTGTTTTTCACATTCGTCCAGGTAGTATCTGTTGAAATAAATATTTAATCAAACGTAAAATATAATATGTTCGATTATATTCGAAAACAGATACGAATTAAATTACCTGTAGTTTACCATAATTCCACAACTATTTCCAACACCTCGCGGCGAAGGATCGGCCAACCAATTTATTCTCCACATGACAGCTCCGTTACGAAGATGAAAATTTGCTGTAGCATGAAAAAATATTAAACGTTGATATTTATATCGACATTGCCTTCGAAAATTTGATTTTCGACAATCAACCTACCAACGTTGTTCAAAGCATAATTTCGTCTTTTTTCTTTGTACAAATACCACGCACATGCTCTGAGTAACGGCTTTTTCAAAACTTCACATATCGCAACGTCGCGAGTCCACAGCGAATCATTGAGAATTCTTTTCAAACTCAAAGCAATATCTTTCTCGTTTAAAATCTTTCGCGCAGATTCGCGTTCTTCATCCGTGAAGACATTACGTATATCTAAAAAGAACTTTGTATCAAGGTACAACGTATTCTATTCGCGAGACTTACCAATTTATCAACATCGATAATTTTTATAATTATTTGAAATAAATCGCACGTACCTTGTTTCGTTTTTTCTAAAAACCAAGTTTTAAAATTAGGTATCGGCGACAAAGTGGACAATTCATTTATCATAGGAAATTCCGATATCACTTTTTTGGCTACCTCTTTTATCAAATAATTACCAAGTTCAATACCCTAGAAAAAAATCAAAATTTTTAGATATTTGTACATTTCTAGATATTTATACACTTACTTGTAATCCCTTCTGCGTAGAAGATATCGAATAAAATACCGCAGTCTTTATTTTGCACTTATCCTCTTCCAAAAACGTGATTTCTGTTTTCGGACTACCGAGAATTCTGACTTTCGCATCTTCGATACCTCTTACACTATCTATACATTGATATGTGTTTTACTATAACATATATTTATTCATCGTACTGCATTTAATTGTCAAATCTGTACAATATGTTGTTTATCAAGACGGTATACCTGGTATAGCATCGCACAATGCCGAATGTAATACAACAAGAGGTTCTCGCGGCATAGACGGATGAGTAAAAATATAACATCTTCTATACGGCCCAACTCTTTGTTTCAAATCTAACCAATTTTTTATAGGATGTATCGCTTCGTAATCTGAAATCTTATAATTTACAAATAAGAAAGAACGTAAAACACGTAATATCGTTTGCTTCTGATTTTATTTTCTAAAATTAAACAACGATAGTTTTATGGAATGTAGAATACCTTTTGTAGAACGTCGCACGAAGTTTGCCACGTTATTCTTTCCAAATGTAGAAATCCAACTGAAAACCAGAATAACAACAAATCACGCAGAGTAACGTTCAGCTGCTGGATCGCAATACTTTCATCCGCGTCTTCAGTTTTCAATATTAATTCCTAATAAGAATATTTGTACAGAAGCGAA